TGAAGCCAATACTTAGTGCCCAAGGAATTAGTGAGGGAGGAGACATTAAACTAGAGCCAAGATTTTCATCTGATCTTGAAGTCTCTGTATATCTAACCAATGTATCAAGCATGGAAAAGACATAAGATAAAACTGATTTACAGAAGAGGATGTTTTGCATGCTAATATTCAGGAGAAACCACACAAACACACACACACACACACACACACACACACACACACACAAATATATTGGATCCCTATGAAAGGAACAACAAGATCTGGGGTATCCAATTTGACTTCCAACTCTTCATTGTCTTCATCTGTTTTTGCCAGACCAAACACAAATGGAAAGACAGAAAGCCCTCTCTATCTGGGAGTTCTGTGTTTATGGAGCCAACCAACTGAGGATTAAAAATATTTGGAGGAATAAAAAATAATTGTCTCTGACCTGAACACATAAAGACAGTATACTTGTCATTATTCCCCTACCAATACATTGGAACAGCCATTTGCACAATATTGGCATTCTGTTACATATTATAAGTAATATAGAGACAATGTAAAGCTTAAGGGAAGATGAGCACAGGTGTTATGCGAATACTGTGCCATTTTATATAAGGGACTCTGAGTACCTGCCGATACTGATATTTGAAGGGGTCCTAAAAACCAATTACCCACAGATACTGAGGGATAATTGAACTGTATTCTGGTCAACCTACAAATGAAAAGTCATTGTTTAGTGTGTTGGCTAAGCTAAGAGGTATATGTTACTTCTGTATTCAACTCCCTTTAAGAAAGGTCAAGTGCTATCATCCTGGTTGATGAGTGAATGTCTTCACAGCCCTGATATTGATATCTCAGGAGAGTTGATAGCTGCCCAGGCCTTCTTAGAAACAACATCATTTGTCACTCGTTGTGTACTACTTATTACTCAAAGAGGTCCGGATAGGACAGCTCTCCACTGGACCTAGGTTCACCTAAACAATGCCTGTGGGAATTGTTGTAAAGGACACACAGACCTCTAACACAGGTGTGTTCATAATCATAACAAGTGTCAGGTTGGTGTTTTTATTCTCAAAACTAAAACAAATCCATTTTCCAATGACCCTGATCTTATGTTCTTTTTCTTTCTTTCTTTTGTTTTCTTTTTTCTTTTTTTGCCAGACCTGGGGCTTAAACTCAGGGCCTGGTCACTGTCCGTGAGCCTCTTTTGCTCAAGGCTAACCCTCTACCACTTGAAACACAGCATCACTTCCAGCTTTTTCTTTCTCTGTGGTACTGAGGCATCGAACTCAAGGCTTCATGAATGCAAGGCAAGCACTCTACCTCTAAGCCACAGTCCCAGCCCTTATTGTCATTTTTAGTTCTGTAATGGTAGATGAGTTCCTTCAAATCATATAGCCAAAGGTCCACAATCCAAAGAATAAAGTTTACAGGAGATAATATAGAATATTATGACCTCAGAGTAGCTTGTGGATGTGGTAACAGCTCACTCTACACACACACACACACACACACACACACACACACACACGGGTACAGGTATGCACACGTGACCAGAGCTCAAACCACCAGTGAATGCTGGAGGAAGCAACATGATTTGGTAAAAAGAGCAAATTCTTTGGAGTTAGATCTACCTCCCGTCTAAGTTCTATGCTTCAGGTTCCTTTTCTATAAAATAGAACCATAGAACCATCAAAAAGATCAATACCCAACCATACTCAACACAGTACCTGCCCCATAGAACACAGCCAACATCAGGGCCTTCACTTCCCTTTCCCTGTGTGTTTCTGAAAGGTGCCTTTTTTATTTTACTGATTTAAATGGGAATCTTACAGCAATTTAAAAAAACCAGTTCCTACATATTATATAGTCATACTCACATATGTATCTGTTACAGAACCATAATTTGCAAAGAAAAAAGAAGTAGTAATTTTAAGAGAAAAGTACCAGCTCACTTACACTGCCTTCCAAAACCTTCAGCTTTACAATCTACAAAGCTATTTGCTCTAAGGGTGCATATTCTGAAATAAAAGAAAAAAATTTCATGTGGAAAAAAAAAGGTCCCTCTTCTCCCTCCCTCAAAAAAAAAAGCTGACAAAGAAAAAATAATGAGGGGAAATCTAGGGGTTTATTTTACTTAACAAAGTCAAAGTCAAGCAAAATGAATAATCTGCCTCCAGAAATGGTTATTTAAAGGCATTTTGTAAAGGGCTCTGGTTCCTAAAAAGACAGGAGTCAGTGCATATACCCACCCACTCTTCATTTATTTTTAAACCCTAGCTTATATGTTCCTTAGCAACAGGAGGAGCAGATGAGACCCCCGCTACACACACACACACACACACACACACACACACACACACACACACACACTTCTTTCACATCAAGTTGCATTTTGCAAATACCCCCATTCTTCCAAAGGTATGTTTCCCTACCTTCACATCTCCTCTCTACTTCAAATGGTTCCCTTTAGACAAGCAACCAAAATCCTCTACTCCACCGAACTTTTCTGTGTCAATTCTGTTCCCTGAGACCCTCCTGACTTCTCTCCTTGAAGTCCCACCAGCCCCTGTCCTCCACTTCCTCCCTCACCCAGGGAAGCTGCACTCACCCAGGAGCCAACACCCAACTGCAGCCCAAGCAGCTGCTGTTTTCTTTCATCAGCCCCCTGGGAAGACAGCAGTGGGACCCAACTGCAACCCTCTGAGTTCTTGCAGAAATGGCCCCCAAGGCAAGTCTCATGACTCCAAAAGAAAATTATGAATACTGGTCCAAATGGAAAGGTTATCTTGGATCTATCCACACCAGGCCATATCACCTGTCTTCTGGCTTTACAGCTGCAAAGCCTTGTTTGGCTGGGTTGGCTCTATGAATTCAAGGATCAATTGTTCGGCCTTTGGAGAAAACTAGATTAGCAGTCCTCAGATATTAGTGTACTTAAGCCTCAGCTGAGGAGTCTTGATTAAGAAACTCCTACCCACAGGCAGTATGGTGCTGTAAGTCTGGAACAGGCAGGCATGGTCAGCAGCCAAGTGAGGGGATGTAGCTATAGGTGGCCCCCTAACTTTGGAGACAGTAAAGCTTTACTTACAAATGAAATCCAAGAAGGAGGATGCAACAGCATTACACTATTCCCTTCAAAAAGAGTGCTGTCCCTTTCTGTGACTGCATTTGTCTGTGTTCACACTTAGATGTGCCTATGGCTCAAGAGCAATCCAGCTAGCTGCAGCCCCACACCGGATACATTTCCATGAGAGAGGATCAGAGAAGTGTCCCTGCCAGGAGGCAAGTCGAAGTGATTTCCCTTGCAAACTCTGGCTCAGTAGCCCTACCCAAGGAGGAGTCTGATGAATACTTAGAACTCTTGTGAAGCTGTTGGCCCTGAAGCCCTGGAGCCCAGCAGACCTTCAATGTGCTTCTGCTGGTCCCCCTGCCCCGCCCCCCCTCCGCACTTCCCCAAGTCACAGCTCCTAAATTAGGCTGGATGTAGTCCTGATTCCCTGGAGAGTCAGACAGGCCATCATAACTAGGAAGTAGAACTGCCTGTGTCCTAGCATACCTCCCAAGAGCTCCCCGAGGCTCCTATTTTTAGAAACTGAAAATATAAAAAGAAAAATAAAATCCATTTTGGATCTGATCTGCACGAGTAACTAAGAGAACAACTCAGGTGGGAAACTCCCTCAGTGTGCACGGAACTAAATGCAAGCCGGGGCTGCAGCAGCCACAAGTTCATGGAGAAGACCATGAAGAAACACCCAAAGCCACCATTCTGACTCCCAGCACCTGTCCTCATGATGCCAGGCCTCCAGCCCCGGCAATGCCTGTGGGGATCCCAATGATTCACGCCTGCCCCCATAAATAAAGCAACCCCCACAAACCCACACACCTCTGTCATCTGCTTTTGCTTACATAATAGCACATGGTGTGGCAGGCTTAATACTTTTAGATGGCTTTCGGGAAGGGACTGTGAACCCCAGTGGAACAGGGTTATAAGACTGCTGTCCCTGACCCATTTTATAAAAACCAACTAAAAATACTTGGAACCCCAGCAAGTGCACATCTGTGCTGATCCTCTTGACTTTTAAAAATCATCAGGCACCCAGAGTAGTCGCTTATACTTAATCTTTCTTCTTGCGGGGGGATGGGAGCAAAGTGGGGAGCCTGGGAACAACTGAATCCTCATGTCTTAGGTTTGGAACCTGACACTATTTGGGGCTCTTTTCTTTCTTAATCCTAATTTGGTAGCCTTTTAGCCCACCTTGTCTCACAAATGCATTCATCCTTAGATGCGAATAAGGTCCATTTTCACCCCCACTCCCTCCTCCCTTCCAGCCTGTCAGCAGTGGATTCCCCACAGCTCTTCCTTCTGGGCACGCCCGGGAGAGAAGGACCACTCCTGTACAGGTAGCCCCTGTCTCCAGCGGCTAACTACAGACAGTGATGTCCTACCCGTCCTCGATGGGAGATCTGAACACAGATCCAACTTCCATAAGCATTTCTCTTCAGCTTGGGGACGTCCTTCCCTGCCTGTCAGAGTGAGCTCAGCTAGCAAGTTAGTGCCAGAGGTCCGTCCACTGTTGGGGGGGGGGGGTCGGGGGGAGTGGCTGAAATGGCACTGACTTAGGGCAACTTTGACGACTTTGCTTCGGAAAGCCAGGCACCTTCTGGATCTGTGTCCCTCACACGCCCCACCTGCACACCTGCCCCCCCCACCACACACACACACACACACACACACACACACACTTTTCCTTCTGACCTCAGGGAATTCCCTCCCTTCATAAATACAGCCTCCGCCGAGATGTTCCAGGGAAAATCCAGGTGCGCCCTAGCTTCCTTCCAGCCCACCAACGATGGGACGTAAGAAGGAAGAGAGGTGCAGGTGGGGGAGACGGAGAAAGGTACCCCCAGCTGCCAGGAAGGCAAAGGGTGCCCCCCACCCCGCCGCGCCCCGGTCCGCCCGCCCCGGGGCCGCACCTGCCCGACCTCGCCCCGACTCCCTTCCCCGCGCCTACCTGTAAGAGACCTGCTTCCGGAAAGTTAAGTTCCGCAGCTTCTCCTCCAGCGCCTCGTCTTTGTCCCTCTGGCCGGCAGCCCCGGGCTCTTCCAGCGCAGCGGCGCCCGCGGCTCCGGCGCCCCTCGGGTCCACGCCGCCCTCG